TTTGTCTTTTTGAGACAAGGTTTTGCTGTGCAGTTCAGGCTGGCCTTGAACTCACTTTGTAACCCAGGCTGGCCTTGAACTCAGGGCAGTCCTCTTGCCTCAGCTTCCCAAGTGCTGGGATTATAGGTGTGCGCTACCACACCCAGCTACAGCATATTTTTTCTTCTTCTTTTTTTTTTTTTCTTTGTGCTGCTTTTGCTGGAAATGAAAACTTAGAAGGCTCCTTTGTGGTCTTTTGAAAAATAGTACTTTTTTAACTTCGAGTTTTGATTATGTTTTAAAGAAAATATATTTATGTAACTATTAAAGAGAATTCTTTTTCTTTTTTTCTTTTTCTTTCTTTCTTTCTTTCTTTTTTTTTTTTTTGCAGAACCGGGGATTGAACTCAGGCCCTTGTACTTGCCAGGCAAGCGCTTATTCTACTGAGCTATCTCCCCGGTCCCCCGAGAATTCTTTTTAAACTTAAAAAAAAATCTTTATTTATTTGGTACAGGGTCTTGTTACACAGTTCAGACTCATAGAAGTCTTCCCGTCTCAGCTTCCCCAGAGCTTGGATTACAAGCATGTGTCACTATGCCTGGTTTCGATGGCTGGCACAGTGTGAACAGGGCTCCAGGGCTGGCACAGCATGTGGTACCAGAGATGGAATCCGAGTCCTTGTGCATGCCATGCAGGCGCTTAGACCACCAAACTATCTCCTCAGCCTAAAGAGGAGAATTCTTATCTTAGATGTTGTCTTTTGTGAGATTGATGTGTAGTTTAATCATATTTCATGTGGTCATTTCCTTCAGAACCAGAGGCTTAAAGTTCCCAGTCCAAAGCGAAGAGCCGTTTGTGTGATGATAGTCTTGGCATTCATAATCCTGAACTATGGACCTATGAGGTAAGTGAATAGGTATTTGTTTTGAATATTGATGCAAAAATTTTAATACTCATTGTTATCCTTTAGCTTTGGTCATAAGCTAAAGGAAAACTGATTTGTTTTGAACAGCATTAGCATCTCAGATGTGTAAAGAATAATTGGACAGGTCATGTCTTCGAAGATTTCTTGATCTAGCTTGGAAGAGAGATTGTTACGTCCTTTTACATAAAGACAGACATGCTATAATGTTGATTAGTATGATAATAGCTATATCAACAAGCTGCTGAAAGAATATAAGTACGTGTGATTTCTTCAGTGTAATAGTTCATGCCATATTAATAGGTCCACAATATATAGTTTTTTTTTTCTCAATGAGTGATAAAAGAATCCTCACTGAGGAATCTGTACCTTGAAGTTTATTACTCGTGTATTTGTGTGCTATTGTGGATTGAACACAGGGCTTTTTATTTTTTATTGTGAGACATGGTCTCATTTAATTGTCCAGGCTGGGCTCAAATTTACAATCTTCTTGTCTCAGCCTCTGAACAGGGTTTAGGTTACAGGTGTGTGCCCTCACGCCCACCTTGTGATAGCAGTTTCCAAAGTAGAAAGGTGTGTCAAGCAGACGGAACAGCATGTTCCCTCATAAAAATGGCACACATTTTCATTAAAAGTTAATGAAACAAACAAAAAGAAAGTAAATGAAACATATGAGGAATGTGTATGAAGCTAAACATATGATCGGAAATAATGTGGGACTAGGTAATAAAGGGCCTAGGCTGCTGTTTTCTACACCGAGACATGCGTATGCTTTTGGATTGGGAGTAAAATAATTAGCTCTTTTTCCTGACTTTCCTCCCTTGGAAAATAGAGGTATAGTTTAAAATTATCTTATACATTTAAATATCAGTTGTTAATAGCGATCATTAATAATTTTATCCTAAAGATTATCTTTTTAGGGATGACTTTTTTATTTTTAAGGTATCTTTGTCTTTATTTTTAATTACTAGAGTAACAGGTTAAAGTAGAATGGTGATTATGAAGATTGAAAAAGGAGAGGGAGCAAAGTAGAAAAAGTGAGCTCAGATTTGGTTAGTGCACACACATGCACAGAGGGAAATATCACAGATTGAAAAATGAAAGACCTTCTTAGCTATCTCTCTCCTTTTTCTTTCTTTTTTTTTTTTTTTTTTTGCGTTTTCTTTTTTTTTTTTTTTTTTTTTTTGCGCCCTGAAGATGCCTTCAGGGCATTTCTGGGTTCCATGAGTATCTGGGTTCGAACCAGAGCATCTTGAGCCTGACTGCTTTGTTTAAGCAGACACTTAAACAACTGAGCTAATGGGCAGGCCCCCTCTTCTTTTTCTTGAGACAGGATCTTATTGTGTAGTTCAGGTTGACCTCCTCCTTCCTCAGCCACCTGATTGCTAGGGTTACAAGTGTGCACCGCCATGCCCAGCCCCTTCAATTCTTTTTTTTTGTAGCAGTCACCTTTTATTGAGCATTAATTCTCACTTAGGCTACGAACAAATTGAGCCATGATTAAGCTGTTCACAGACAGGAGCTGGACAAGGCAGTCACAGGCTAGAATGCAGAGTGCCCTCCACACTGGCCCCTTTTCAGTGGTACTTGCGTCGCCACTCATGTTTGAGTTCCTTGTAAGAAAGGCAGTAGTTGAAAAGGACATAGGCTGCCAGCACCATGTTCACCCCCGCGATGCTCCCTTTCTTCACGTTGATGTACTTGTTGTAATACCGGTAGTAACCTCTCTGAAATGCTCCAGCAATGCCCGTGGGGGAGAAATCCCGCATCAGTATCCAGCTGGGCAGCTCCCCTACTTTCACATCCAAGAGTCTCTTCTCTTTCAATGGTACAACGGAAGCCATCTTGAAGTCCTGATGTTCGCTATAGTGCCCCCTTCAATTCTTTATAAATAACTTTTCCAGATTTCTAAATGAATTACTTATTCAGTCAGAATATATTTATTGAATATTTACTGAGCATTATATATTATGTAAGACCAATGATACTATATTTAGCAAAATAACCTAGTCCTTGTTCTAGTGGAATTTATAATCCAGTACAAGTGAACATATATTATCAAAATAATTATACAAATAAATGCAGAATTACAGCCATATAAGTGCCATGAGATCATGAGACCATATCGTAGGCTTACTTGACCTAATTGGGGAAGTGAAGCATGTTTTCTCTGAGCAAGGGGTGATTAAGTGAATCTTAAATGATTAAGAGTTATTTAGATAAGAAAAAAAAGCCCAGCCTGCTGGTGCCTGCCTGTAATCCCAGTATTTGGGAGTCTGAGGCAGGAGGGTTGCTGTGAGTTTGAGGCCAGCCTGGGGTACAAAATGAGCTCAAAGGCAACCTGAACTGCATAGTGAAACTCTGCCTCAAAAGGATCCCTCTCCCCTAAAAAAAAGATAAAGAACATTTCATATAAAAACAGTATAAATATATGTAAGCTCACATTTATTTGTGTTTTTATGCTTATATTTATATGTTTTAAGAATTTACTTTTTATGTAAGAGATCACACACATGTCATCAGTCTTGTGTTAGTACAGATGCTGCCCTGGAGGCTGGCCTTTGTTGGTCGGCCATCATCACACTCCCCCATCCTCATTAGCACCTTTCATCGTCTGTGGAACTTATATTGTTGTCTTTGTTCTTCTATAGGGATTGGTATCCCCTTTGTTATCTGGTGCTGTAAAATAAAATAAAGTATCTGTGATATGAGTAAGTGAGGATCCTCACCATTAATGTTTTTTGTCCTTTTTTTTTTTTTTTTTTACATCTTTAGTTTTATTTCCCTTTTGAATATTACTTATAGTCATGCTTAAACAATCTTTTCTTTTTGTTGGAATTGATCTAAACTCACTTCAAATTAATTATGCAGCTAGCATTTATATACAACTAATCTCTTGCCATACTTTGGGTGTATTTACTAACTCCCACTCTTGTGTTTTTTTTTTTTTTAATTTTATTTATTTATGTGCGTGTGTGCGTGTGGGGGGGGACAGCTCAGCCCACCAGGGGGCAGAGCTGGCTGGCATGTGGTGCTGGGGGATTGAACCGCGGTCCCTGTGCTTTGCTAAGCTTGTTCTAAGTAGGTGCTTTAGACTACTGAGCCATCTCACCAACCCCTACTCTTGTGTTCTTAAGCCAGAAGAACTTCCTTCTGTCTTTTAGTTCCTTCTTAGTTTTATTTATGATTTTAAGAAATTCTTCTGCTGAGATTCTTGGTATTGTTTTATTCATCCATCCATTTTGCACCAGTTGTGCAATTTGTCAGAGATTTTCTTCCACTTGATGAGGTCTTCTTTGTGCTATTAATTTTTTATGCATATTTCATCCTCGCTGTAAGGTCTTAGTTCATGTTGTCAGATTTTCTTAGTGATAATGTAGTGTTTATCACAGGACACATATGTGTTTATACATGTTCATTCACACTGCTGAAAAACTACGTGCTTTTTTCTTGGTACTAGTGAATAAACTAGGGCTTTGAACATGTTAGGCAAACACTCTGCCACTTAGCTCCGCCCTTAGCTCTTGTGCATGCTTTTAGGCCCTCATTTCTTATTTGATGCTCAGCTAAGATCTTATTTGAGGCTCAGCTAAGATCTTATCTGAGGCTCAGCTATGATCTTGTCTGAGGTACATATCTATTTATTTAGTTAGACATAGAGTACATATTTGTAAAGCACTCATTATTTGCAGGTACTAAGCAAGCAGTAAGGGATGCAGACCTATCCCCAGCACCACATGCCATGCTGGCTCTGCTCCCGGGCACACTGAGATGAGGATTGAGACTGGGCATGGTGGCGAGTGCCTGTAATCCCAGCGCTAGGGAGGCTGAAAACAGGAGGATTTCCACAAGTCTGAGCTGTGTAGTGAGACCTTGTACCAAATACATTTTAAAAAGAGAAAAAAAAAATGCAGCCTACTGAAAGAAGAAGGTATGTGAACAACTGTAGTGTGAGAAAAAATTATGAAAATGGCAGAAAGATACAGGTATTAGAAAAAGAAAGCCTGGGGAGATAGCTCAGTAGAATAAGCGCTTGCTTGGCAAGCACAGGGTCCTGAGTTCAATCCCCAGTACTACAAAAAAAGGAAAAAAAAAAAAAGATTTACAGGGGCTGGGGAGATGGCTCAGTAGAATAAGCGCTTCCCTGGCAAGCTCAAGGGCCTGAGTTCAATCCCCAGTTCCACCAAAAAATAAAAATAAAGAAAGAAAATAAAATTAAAAAAAAAAAGACTTAGAAAAAGATATTTTCTTTATATAACACTTTTTGTACCAAATATATTTGGTTTTCTATACCAAGAAATTCTTCGATTTGCTGGAGATCAATTGAATGTCCTAAAGTTTATTTCTGACACTACTTGGAGTTAGCACAGGTGCTTGTAAGTTGAGGGCTCAGTGCCACAAACTGCCCCTAATATGAATAACCAGTCACACATTCCAGTTTGTCTCCTATAACTTGGGTGTGAATTGGAGTTTCCCAAACTTCCCCTTCACCCTAAGTTTCAATAATTGTCTATTATAGATCATAAGACTTAGGGAAACACTTTACTTAACTATCATTGGTTTATTTTAAAGGATACACAGGGCAAGCCAAATGGAAGAGATACTTAGGATGAGGTACAAAGGAAGTAAGATGTGTTAGAGAGAATACAGTGTCACTTTTGTGAAATTTAGCAAAAATGTACAAACTGAATTTTATGAAGAAACATTATATAAGCCCTAAAGCAAGATATTGTACAAAATGGATAGCTCATGATCTTAAAAAGCGTCAAAGTTGTGAAAGTCAGAGAGAGGCTAAGGAATATTCTGAGACAGGAGGATTAAGGACATGTGTATGGTGTTATGGTTTATCTAGATGTCTCGTATCCCCAAGCCTCATGTATTCAAAGACAGGGCTTTTGAAAGGTGATTGAGGCCAGGGATATAGCTCAGTGGCACAGTGCCTGCCTGGTAAGTGCAAGGTCCTGAGTTCAATGCCTGGTACC